TAACCAAATGTATTTATACATAGGCCCTACACAAAATGTTGGTAATTTAAAATTACCCATTTACAATTTTTTTTTTTTTTTTTATGATTGCCCTTAGCGGCAATAGAGATTTTATATAGAGCGAAATAAAATTGTGATCAATTCAACAAAATCTTAAAAGCTAGAGCTCTAACAAGTAATCTGATGGGATGTTGGAACCATCGTCTCAAATAACACTAACAACAGACCGAAACTCAAGGCATTGAGAAATACAGGGCTGTATTTTTTTAGTTGGCCTGTGTTACTGTATAATAATGTATACACTTGTAGTTGTAGTTATTTGTAGTTTATAGTAAACTCAATTGATGCCATCCATGATTCAATGAATGCCATCCATGTTTCCATGAATGAATGCCATCTATGTTTTAATGTAAGCCACCCATGTTTCAATGAATGCAATCTATGTTTCAATGAATGCCACCCATGTTTCCATGAATGAATGCCATCTAAGTTTTAATGTATGCCAACCATGTTTCAATGTATGCCAACCATGTTTCAATGTATGCCAACCATGTTTCAATGTATGCCAACCATGGTTTCAATGTATGCCAACCATGTTTCCATGAATGCCAACCATGTTTCCATGAATGAATGCCATCTATGTTTCAATGTATGCCAACCATGTTTCCATGAATGCCAACCATGTTTCAATGTATGCCAACCATGTTTCCATGAATGCCAACCATGTTTCCATGAATGCCAACCATGTTTCAATGAATGCCAACCATGTTTCAATGAATGCCAACCATTTTTCAATGAATGCCAAACATGTTCCCATGAATGCCAACCATGTTTCCATGAATGCCAACCATGTTTCCATGAATGCCAACCATGTTTCAATGAATGCCAACCAAGTTTCAATGAATGCCAACCATGTTTCCATGAATGCCAACCATGTTTCCATGAATGCCAACCACGTTTCAATGTATGCCAACCATGTTTCAATGTACCAGGTATTTCAAGTTTCAATGAATGCCAAGTTTCAATGAATGCCAAGTTTCAATGAGTGCTATGTTTCAAGCAATGTCTTCTTCAACCAAAGGCCAGCTGAAGAAGACAGATTCTGAGTCAAACAAAATCTCAACAGGGTACAGGACCTGCTCATTCCTGCCAAAGACAATCACGGACTGGAACAAGCTTCCAAAATCAACAGTTGAGACGACAACACTTGCCACATTTTCGTCTATTGCCTCAGGCCTTCCAACCCCCAGTTTATGATACCTTCGCTGGGAAGCCCTTGCAACCACTGACATAACCTCTTCAATATCAGGCACAGAAACACTGTGAATCTCCCTACATACATAGGTGCCAGAATGATCAATCAATTGATCGTGGATCCTTGATACATAGAAGAAGAAGACGGCAGCTTTGTTTGTGTCAGACACAATATGATCAGTATACGTCTTTACAGAACACACAAACATTAAGATATGGAGCATATAACAAAAAAAGGTTCATTGAAGAGATAATTGCATTAAAAAGATACCAATAACTACTGATGATTTCCTGAACAAACCAGTCAACAAAGATTCATAAGAATGAGACCAAAGCTCATTGAAAGTAAGACATTTATTCATAATTCATGGCACAATTTTTTTTATTCAAATCAATAAATAATATTCACAATTCACAAATTTCCTTCCGCACTATTACCTTGCCTTTGATTTAATCATAATATGATTTATTTATCGTTTGGAAAAAAATGGTATTGATATTGAAGTATAGGGCCTGCCTGAATGTTTTTGAGCTAGATTTAAATTATACATTTGTTCAGATGTCTTGATGGCATTAAAACATGGTATAGAAAGGTCAGTTATTTATGTCCACCGAAAGGGCTAAACGCTATTGCAAATACCCAATTTCATCTAATGATATGTACCACAGCTGTAATCAATTCATGATCCCTATAATCTGTGCTAGGGTTCAATATTTGAAATGGTGTTTTTTTTAAAGTTTTCTTTTTTTTTTACAGTCTTAGGGTTAAGTGTGGCAATAGATTTTAGAACATTACTACATAAAGTGACTATTCTTAGTGTTAAATGTGGCAATAGATTTTAGAACATTACTACATAAAGTGACTATTCTTAGTGTTAAGTGTGGCAATAGATTTTAGAACATTACTACATAAAGTGACTATTCTTAGTGTTAAGTGTGGCAATAGATTTTAGAACATTACTACATAAAGTGACTATTTTCCCAAGTGTGATTAGAGCCTGTGGTAGTTGGACATCACAAGACAGAACATATGGCTGGTCATCATAATATTTAAAATATATGGGGGGGGGCGCGCGTTTGATGGCATTTCGTGTCCAACCTGCGTGGGTTAAAAACAAGCCATCCCGTCGACTCCCCGGCCTGTGGTGAATCGTATGACGTTTTTGTAAGCCAATGCTATCACACCATTCTTGCAAGCCGACCCGTAACATTACCACACCACCAAGTTTACTGTTCTGTCCTACAGGATTATATCATATCTTTAAGAGGTGCCAAGCAATCACACCACAGACAAGCAAAGAAAGAGTGATACGTTTAAATTAAACGACTAAAAATGACAGAGCAAGAAATACCCGAGCCAAAGCAAAACAAAACAACAAAAACAAAACCACCCCCAAGACAACACCCATTTGTTCCAAGATTGGTTGCCTTCATCATGATGTTATTATAGGTCGAGGACTGTATTGATATCTTAGCTACTAGGAAGGCTGCACCACTGCAAACATGTTGTTGTAGGTCGAAGACTATTAATATCTTAAATACTTCCAGCTACTAGGAAGATGGCACCACTGCCAACATGTTATTGTGGGTCAAGGACTGTATTAAAAATGTTAAATACTCCCAGCTACTTGGAAGGTGGCACCACTGCAAACATGTTAAGTATGGGATACACCTGGAAGCCACCGGAAAGGAAAGCACAGGGCCGTGATGAATGGAGAATTCTTGTAGACAGCCTATCCCCCAGATGGGGTAGAAGGCTGTTTGTAAGTAAGTAAAGAAAGAGATAACAGTATAAACATTCATGTGCCACCATTTTGTCATTGGCACTGGCGATCTGTAGTTCAATTTGTTACTCTTCTTCTCTATGTACCATCTAGAAGTAGAACAATGTAATGTAACACCAGCGGTGCATGTGCCATCTAGAACAATGTAATGTAACACCAGCGGTGCATGTGCCATCTAGAAAAAAGTAATGTAACACCAGCGGTGCTTATGCCATCTAGAACAATGTAATGTAACACCAGCGGTGCATGTGCCATCTAGAACAATGTAATGTAACACCAGCGGTGCATGCACCATCTAGAACAATGTAATATAACACCAGCGGTGCATGTGCCATCTAGAACAATGTAATGTAACACCAGCGGTGCATGTGCCAAAGTTTGACAACCGTTGCCATAGCTAAACCAATTACAGTCTTAATAAATTAACTACAGCATGGATTTATGAGGAAATAAATTTTGTAATAGGTTGAAATTGTTGGTATCACACTGTGCACATATTTTGACTTAAAACTGGTTTGTTTATTATAAGTTGTTTCTGAAGAAAAGATTTACAAGAAATGCTTCAAAGTCAGTAGTCCATTCTCTCCTCAAGTTACCAGTAACTTACAGTAACATACTTTTAAATGAAAAAATAGCTGCAGAAATCTCAAACTTAAATAGGCGCCCCAAAGAGTTAACGATAAGTTCCTCCCTAAATGGCACTAAGTTCCTCCCTAAATGGCACTAAGTTCCTCCCTAAATGGCACTAAGTTCCTCCCTAAATGGCACTAAGTTCCTCCCTAAACGGCACTAAGTTTCTCCCTAAATGGCACTAAGTTCCTCCCTAAATGGCACTAAGTTCCTCCCTAAATGGCACTAAGTTCCTCCCTAAACGGCACTAAGTTTCTCCCTAAATGGCACTAAGTTCCTCCCTAAATGGCTCTAAGTGCCTCACTCAGAGTTTCAACCTGTTTCAGATCATAAACCCAATAAAAATAATTCAAAGTCCCACCACATGAGGTGAACTATTTCAAACATTTCATATTCCCCATGTCACATCAATACACAAGACAAAGAACAAACACAACATTACATATCCAAGACTCACAGTAAAACAAAACGGCTGATCATTTATATTTGCAGTTTAACATGAAATGACAAAATGTCTTGCCCACTTCCTCACACACACACAAATTCTTTGACTTTGTCTTCCTAATTGTAATGCTGACAAGTTGCCCATTTCCAAATAAATTCAAACAAAAACATGATTACTTTTAAGGCCACAACAGACATATTTGTTCCTATAAATAAACTATTTGATGGTTCAGTAAGACATTTTTTTTTTATTAGTCTTTTTTTGTTTTTCAAAATTTATCAGATTAGGTACATTGGCATTGATTTTGATATGATAAATCAATCAACTTAGAAAGCACCAAATGAGCTAGATTTGTGGTCCACCTGATGCCTAAATGCACAAAGTTATCAATCACACCCTCCACTATATGAAATTACCCACATCCAAAGAAATAAGAAAACAATTTTTTTTAAGACTTGCACATTGAGGATTCAAGCTCAATATCAGATACGCACAATGTCAAGTCATAGTTAGCCAAGCTGATACCATCAAATATCAGATACGCACAATGTCAAGTCATAGTTAGCCAAGCTGATACCATCAAATATCAGATACGCACAATGTCAAGTCATAGTTAGCCAAGCTGATACCATCAAATATCAGATACGCACAATGTCAAGTCATAGTTAACCAAGCTGATACCATCAAATATCAGATACGCACAATGTCAAGTCATAGTTAGCCAAGCTGATACCATCAAATATCAGATACGCACAATGTCAAGTCATAGTTAGCCAAGCTGATACCATCAAATATCAGATACGCACAATGTCAAGTCATAGTTAGCCAAGCTGATACCATCAAATATCAGATACGCACAATGTCAAGTCATAGTTAGCCAAGCTGATATCATCAAATATCAGATACGCACAATGTCAAGTCATAGTTAGCCAAGCTGATATCATCAAATATCAGATACGCACAATGTCAAGTCATAGTTAGCCAAGCTGATATCATCAAATGGGGGGAGGGGGTTATTAATCTACCCCTAACAAAAAAGTAAAGAACGCTCAAGTTACTCTAGCGGAGCACTCAGCGGAGCACTCAGCGGAGCACTCAGCGGAGCACTCAGCGGAGCACTCAGCGGAGCACTCAGCGGAGCACTCAGCGGAGCACTCAGCGGAGCACTCAGCGGTTATCAACAGCCTTAAAAAGTTTTTGATTCAATGTAACGGGTGGTGAACAAAAATTGATGAGTAAAAGATGAGGAACTGACAGACAAAATTGAGTGTGAAATGTCAGAGTAAAATACGAATTAGAAACATCAATTAATGGCTGCGTCTCAATGATGATGAAGTAAGGGGGGAAAAAATGAAATACATTTTTTATATGCTGGTTTTTTATTTTTAATTGACCAAATTGTTTTTAAATTGTAAGCATTAAGTGTAAACAAACAAAAAAATCACAAGCTGACTCTTGTTATGAGATGGTTTTTCTGATAGTTTGATTGATATTGATTGTGATTGTAACCTTTTTTTTCTCATGAAAATCCTTGATACAATCAAAACCAATAGGTGCGGTGTATTTCAAATGGCTGGAATGAAAAATTTGAAATTTGGGAAGGGAACAAAAATGGCATTGCAAGTTCTTCAATTTGTTAGTTGTTAAAAAAATGAGAACAATCTGAAAAGCCCCCCACCCCCCTGCTCTCCTTACAAAAATAGAGTTAGCTACAATAGTCATACCATTAGCTACAATAGTCATACCATTTTTGAAATCAATATTACAACTCATACAAGAAAAATTCAGATGTAGAGGTATAAATACAGCATATGTTGGATGAAGATTCCTTCCCTTATACTCATCTACCATACACACAAACAGCAACAGGCCTGTGTGCATTTTCATTACTCCCTGACTCTCTCTCTCTCTCTCTCTTTCTCTCTCTCGTCCATTAAGAAGACTTCATAAACATTATGAAGCAGCTGACATACATTCTGAATACGATATTTGTTGTATGAGATGCTCTAACCCAATCAAGCTCAACATGTAGACTTCAACTTTCCACCTCCAAGCAAAAACTGAATGATCCTATCAATGAGAAACACTGACACGATGTCTCCGATCACAATGCCCAGCACTGTATTACGAAACTGAGAAGGAAAACAAAACAACAAAAATAGTCATTTGATGTTCCATAAGTCACTTTTAGAGTTGATCTGCATTGAACATTTTGACCAAATATTGAAAGGGACAATCAAAAATACTGGCTTAATGTTTGTCACCCGTGTCTCTCCCCCCCCCCCACCTGGCTTAATGCNCTGGCTTAATGTATGTCCCCGTGTCTCTCCCCCCCTGCCTTAATGTATGTCCCTGTGTCTCTCCCCCCCCCCCCCCAACTGGCTAAATGCATGTCCCTGTCTCTCTCCCCCACCCTCTTTTCCAAATTCCAATTAAACTGTACTTTTCAATTAAGGGCCTAGTAATAACCCTAAAACCAAAGAATGTTTTAACTAATAAATGTAAATTAAGATGTCATGAATAAGTGGTTGTTTTTTTGGGGGGTATTTTTCAAAATTTTATATTTATATTTCTAGATTATTTTCTAAAAAAGGCTACAGCTTCATCTATAGAATAATAGACACCTGTCTGACAGCCATGTCTTAATAAAAATACAGTATATAAACCTTCACTGCTGTTTTGTCTCACTATTTAGCTCCTGTTTATCAGACTGACCTCATAAGGAAGTTCGACCAGCTCAAACTGCTGCTGCAGCTCAGGGATGACACCACTGGCCAGCACCAGCACAGCACAAGTAGAAAACAGCAAACTGTAGATTAACGGTTTATTGTCTCGAAGTCGCTCCATGAAGGGCTCACCCTGTCAATACAAAACAAAAAAAACAAAAAATGAGTTTGCCTTGTAAAAGGTTTTGTGGTGGGGTGGGTGAATATAAATTTTTTTGACATTCTTTATTTCATAAATGTATTTTATTTTAATGTCATGATTATGTCTCTTTTGATAAAAAATTTTTGTACACCGCAGTGAGCCCAGCCTTAGGCTGGGGTACCGCGTTATATAAGACCCCTTATTATTATTTTATAACATCTGGTTCTCTAGATCAGGCCTGCACAAGATACAACAGGCCTGCCAGCACCCACTTTGTGGCCCGCAAGGCAACGAAAAACTCTTTATTCTTATTATTTTCTTTTTAGCTGTCCCCCTGACCTATATTTTTTTGGCCCGCACAAGTCCAGTCTTATTTTCTTTTGACCCGCACAAGTTTTTCATAACGTATTACGGCCCGCCTTACATTTTGAGTTGTGCAGGCCTGCTCTAGATGAGTAGCACACGACCTAATTAATATGACATAATATTATATTTCCTTTCCATCATATTTGTTCCTAGTGACAAAAACTGTTTACTTGAGGATACAGAATGCTACACATCCAGAATATGCTGGCTACCTTTATAAATTGATGGTCAACCCAGAGACATCATACCTTATAAATTGATGGTCAACCCAGAGACATCATACCTAATAAATTGATGGTCAACCTTGAGACATCATACCTTAAAAATTTTGATGGTCAACCTAGAGACATCATACCTTATAAATTGATGGTCAACCCAGAGACATCATACCTTATAAATTGATGGTCAACCCAGAGACATCATACCTTATAAATTGATGGTCAACCCAGAGACATCATACCTTATAAATTGATGGTCAACCCAGAGACATCATACCTTATAATTGACGGCAAAAGTGGAGACTTGTAGAGACATAGAAATGATGTAAACTGTTGTGTTGAGGATACTAGGCTCAAACTTTTTATCCAGCTTTACAAAGTCTCCATCTTCCCTGGAAAAATAAATGCAACCTTTTGACCCCCTGGGCAATTTTAGCAGTTGATAAATTACTGAATAATCATGACGGAATGGCAGGAATAACAAATCCTGGGCTCTGAGGTTGTAGTCAGACATTGAATGGTAAAGCCAAATAATTGATTTATTCTATGAAATTACAATAGAGATCTGGGGATTATAAACTGTTTTACCCATTGAACTGTGCCTCCTTTTTCTTTTCAATTAATTGACATTATTGCTATAATTTTATATAAAGTCCAGTGTGAAAACAGGTCAACTGGCCTACACTGAGCCTGTTCAAAGATTGCATGCAACTTTATTCAATTCATTTAAAAAATCTTTTAGAAGATTGTTAAATCATGAGCAGAGTCTTCAAGTTTACTATCATGATCAATTACTTTATTGTGTTATTATTACCTTTTGGGCATTCGAGATTTGGCTTCCTGCACCAGGTAAACAAGACAGGAGAAGTGTACACAGAACTGGAGGAAAACTGTGAGAATGGTGTACAAGTTGAATATATTTGGAAGTGGTCTCTCTTTGGACAGAGTTTTCAGTGGCTGTGGAGAGTTGGATTCATTGAACGCATGATAAGTTGACAATATACCTTATGTACCTCTCTGCAGGTTGTGTGACAAAGAACACAATGGGAAATGGAATCTATCTGTTCAATATAGGCATGATGAGGTGATATTAAAGACAAATCATTGTTTGAATGGAAATGATTCAAATATCAAAAATAATGTTGATGAACAGGATTAATTGGACATAATGAATATTCATTTTTTATTTCAAGTCAGAATAATAAAATTCATTTGTCCTGTCTGATGAGGAAGGCTCTTAGCCGAAACGTTCCTATCTTCTTGTCCTGTCGTTTGGTTCAAGCTTCCACATATCGTGTCCTACTATTTCAAGTCAGTAGTTCAGTTAATCACAAGCCAATTGATAGCCAATAAGAATGAAAACTAATATTAAACAATATGACAGCATTGAGATTGTAATGCATATTCACTATACAAAGCTAGCATAAATATCTATTGACGAGAGCCTCACAGACTAGGCTACATTACATGGTGTTTAGTTGTTAAAACATGTATTACACAGTGTTTAGCTCTTATACCATATATTACATAGTGTTTAGTTCTTATACCAAACAGGTGGGAGAATTTTTGTGGGTTTTTCTTATGCTTGATGTGATGTCCATTGTACCAAAAGCAAAAAAAGAAATGCCTTAAATTTATTTGTATAATTGTCAACATTTGGTTTAGCCTATAACAGATATTTGGATCTTCAAGCAAATAGGTAAATGTCAATTTGAGAGAAATCCTTCAGCCACCAATATAAAGATACCCTTACCTTAGACCTGGATATAAACAAGAAACAACCAGCCAGCAGCAAGCCTTGCATGGTGGCCTGACCATCACTGAACTTGATGCCATCCAGATACAGAACACTCTGGCTGTAGGCTAAGACTAAAGCATTCAGGGCCAGAATTTTAAACATCTGTAGTGTTGTGACTAGTGTGCAGCGGCCTTGCTTTATTATATTACAAACTGGTAGAGGAAAAATAGTGAGCACTTATGTTACGTGTTTGGAGAGAATTTTTTCAGGTTAATTCACTATTTTGAAATTACTTTAACCATATAACTGTCTGAAGGGACAATAATTGGCCACAATGTCCCTTTCCAGAAAGAAACGCCAACAAAAACGAAGTTAATATAAAGGATTTATAATATAAGGATTAAAGGTAAATGAAAAATATCACAGCAAGGTGAGCTCTGCAACAAATTTTATGACTAGAAACTATATTCAATTTTGATCTGTAACATCAAGTTAAGCCATCATTTTCATTTTTGATATATATCAAGTCTGAAGAATAAGTTTGCAAACATGCTTTGTTCACTATCTGTATAAGATGAGCACTGTGATTTTAATTAGATAATTTGTTTCCTTTATTCACAAAAATCTTACAGCCGCATTAGACAGGACACATACAGAAAGCATTGCTTTATCTTAGAATTTTTAAATATTACACCCTTATTAGATGACAGTTAATATCATGAGGCCAACTTTAAATAGAACTTACCACTCATGACAGTTGAGAGTTTGGATGTGAATGGTGATGCAATACTGGCATCTCCCAACTTGATCACTTGAGCCTTCTCTTCCTCCTCCATCTCTTTGAGCAAATTTTGAAGTTTTTTCTACAGATTAAATCATAAGAATCAAACCAGCAAGATAGGGAATCAAGGAATTTTTTTTTAAGTTTTCAACTAATGTGTCTACATTTTATTGTTAGGGTGTCAAGGAAACTAACATTTTTAGACAAGTAATAATTTTTAAGATAGCAAGGCAGCACCTAATGAATATTATTATGTCAGTTACAGAACTCATTTGATGAATCTTTTAACATTTTATAAATACTGGCAGTTGGATTTTTTTTTTATGGGTCAAAGTTCATGATCTACCTGTTGAGGATGTACATTGTCTCCCCTGTTAACAGCCCTTTGCTTGGCCACTCTACCCATGGGCCGACCAGCAAGAGCCCGTTGGCTGGGGCCAGCAACAGATTGTTTGTCCACAGGGCTCCCAATGTCTCCATCCTATATGAAATGCAGGGGTGTTTTTTTTTATTACGGTAATAACAGTAATCAATTAATTTAATATTTTCAAAATAACCATTTAGTAAGGAGCAAAATTAACACAGTCATAAGCTATAATACTTTTAATATTCCCATAAGAAATTTAGCCCACTTTTTATTGTGGGATCATCGGTTTCTTTTTAATGACTGAAAAAATTTAATCAAATCAATGATCAATTTTTTAAAAATTAAAAAGCATTATCTTCTGATAAAAATACTGAAATAATATTATAAAGCGCTTGCCTGCATGGCTTCCTCTCTCTTTTTCTTTTCGGGGAGTTTTTCCGGAGCATTGGCAAGAAGGGCAACACCTGAGCACAAATTGATGTTTAGAAGTACATGTATGTTTAAATGATTTTTGTTTTTGTTGTAAATTTATGCCAGCAAAAATTGTTAGTTTAAAAAATAAACACTGCTGCTTAAGAATAGCATGAAAGAAACAGAGATTTTTTGTAAAAAGTATTACATTTTTTTTTCCCGTCATTACAACAAACAAATTTTTTACTTTTTTTTTTTTTAAAATTTGAAAAAAAAAGTAAAAAAATAAATGTAAAAAAAAAAAAACTTTTTAGGGTTACCTTAAATTTGATCGAAAAAAATTTTTTAAACTATAAATTGATTGAAGTTAATTTAATTAAACGGAAATTTGGTTAAAAATTTTTTTAGTCATTACAACAAACAAATTTTTTACTTTTTTTTTTTTTAAAATTTGAAAAAAAAAGTAAAAAAATAAATGTAAAAAAAAAATAACTTTTTAGGGTTACCGTAAATTTGATCGAAAGAAATTTTGTCAACGATAAATTGATTGACGGTAATTTGATTGAACGGAAATTTGGTTGAAAATTTTTTTCAGTTCACACGTTAAAATTTTCGTCAAATCTCTTTTTGAACGCACTATATTATATAGTAAAACAAAATAATGGGTTCAAAAAGAAATTTGAAGCACAATTTTAACGTGAAAACTGAAAAAAAGATTCAACCAAATTTCTCTTCGATCAATTTACCGTTGACGAAATTTCTTTCGATCAAATTTCCGGATACAACTTTTTAGTTCCTGCTTAAATAGATGATACATTTCATTGACATTATTGGATAAAATTGACAACCCAAGAAAGTCAACACTATGTCAAATTAACTCACCAACATCTGCATGTTTTAAAGCACCGACATCATTTGTACCGTCTCCACACATCAGTGTGACATAGCCCAGGGACTTTAATGTAGTGATGATCAGCTCCTGGAATGACATCATGGTATGGTAGACACCAGAAACTAACACTGCATGCACATCAGAAACTAACACTGCATGCACATCAGAAACTAACATTGCATGCACATCAGAAACTAACACTGCATGCACATCAGAAACTAACACTGCATGCACATCAGAAACTAACACTGCATGCACACCAGAAACTAACACTGCATGCACATCAGAAACTAACATTGCATGCACATCAGAAACTAACACTGCATGCACATCAGAAACTAACACTGCATGCACATCAGAAACTAACACTGCATGCACATCAGAAACTAACACTGCATGCATATCAGAAACTAACACTGCATGCACATCAGAAGCTAACACTGCATGCACATCAGAAACTAACACTGCATGCACATCAGAAACTAGCACTGCATGCACATCAGAAACTAACACTGCATGCACATCAGAAACTAACACTGCATGCACATCAGAAGCTAACACTGATTGCATTCACAGCAGAGTAACAAGTTCAGACATCCCAAGATAATTTTAAAACAAATCATTTTATGATTCACTTCGTTTTTAGACCAATAAAAATTGCTACTATGTGAACAATAAATGAAATGATGCACCATAGTATCCTTAATGGCAATTTAAATTTCTTCTTTGAGACATGTTAATTTTCAGAATAGCAGCTTCAACATTTGTTGCATAATTAAATAATCGTAAAATGATTTTTAAAATTTCAGAAATTCCATAACCAAATAGCTCCGCATTTTTATTGATTTATCACAAGTCTGATTTTTCAATTTAATCTTATTTTTTACCTTTTGTTTAGGGGCTACTCTGGCAAAAACTTTAGTGTTGGCAAGGAGCAGGTGAAAGTATTTCTTGTTGTCAGCTTGCAGATATGTCAGAGCCTGTACAATTAATACAGAATTCATTAAATGTCATTTTTATTTTCTAAGTTAATAAGCAGATAAATCCAGGAATAATAACAATTTTAATAGGTATTCTAAACGAATCACTGAGAATTGCACTGTCTGGATAAAATTTTTATTGGGTCCCAACACCTCACAGAGAAACTGTACAATTATGCAGGAGTGTTCAGAGGCAACTGATCTAGAAAGAGGAAATATATTTCTTAACTATGGTATAATTTTGCTAGCTATAAAACAGAATTAAATGTTAAACAACGTCGATTTTAGAATTCAAATCGCGTTTTTTTTAATAATAAAATCATTTTACAGCTAGCAAAAATAAATATTATCAAAGGCTATTCAATTTATTATAAAACTTGTATACTTTTGTGAACACCCCATTTGTAGTATCCATAGTCAAAGGCTTGGAACTAAGTTACCAACGTCTGCTAAAAAAGGGCACGTCAGACCAGCCACGGCAAACTCTGATCGGTCAAAGCAGCACGCAATGACTAATTTTATCTACAAGCTTCTCAAATTTAGTGGCATTACATAGATTTAAAAACTGAAATAGGTGGGTTCAAACATTATTTGTTCTTTTGGAATCTTGTATTTATTTAAAAAACACTTTTTCTTTCATATTTGTTGATTGGGGCTTATTGATAATTAATGCTGTGTTCCTTACATTCACATCAAATGACGACCTAGCATTATTTTAAAGACCTCTGTATTTAAATTATGATAACTGAGAAAAAAAGTAATGCATAATTAGTTGAATAAAATGTTTAAATGTTTAATGATATTTATTTTGTAGCCGTGCAGTTTATATAGAAGTTGCTGTAAATCATTAAATTCTCAGTGTATTAGCGATTGGAGCAAAGCATTTTCTATGGGACAGAGTATTATTTTTGTGAGTGTAAACACTATTGCTTTAATTGTGTAGTTCATTTTTATACTTGGAATTATCATTATTAGGAAAGCTAAGCCATTTTATATGGCATGATGGATAAGACAGACTTCAAATAACTTATCTATCAGGACTGAATTACAGCTTTAAGATACGATACTAATTTTTTTAACAAATTTATTATGTTGGAAATTCTCAACATTACATTTGAAATGGCCCTTTTTGGAATATTATTTGTATTTTAAACTGACTTTGCGTTCAATTAAAAACATTTTCAACAATATGGTGAAAAGATTGTTTAGATATCTTACTTTGGAATGAGATCCCATTTGGAAACAGGATCCAAATGTAATTTTGGAACGGAATCCCATCAGAAACGGATCACAAAGGGGAACGAAATGTTGACCAAAGTTAATATAAATGAGAAATTTTTAACTTTTTTTTTCTTTGGGACATGTTTTTGGACAGGGCCCTTAACATTTGATTTTAGCTAAATGGGTGTTGAAGTTATTTTATAAATGGAACCCCAGGCAATGCCTGGTATTTTGGCTAGGAACAAAATAATTGGGAAAAAGGGTTTACTTTTATTGTTCCTACAACAAAAACACCTTGTCACTTTACCGAATCTCCACCAGTGAGACATGATGAAATATAAATGTCAAACTAACTCACAGGTGAGACAATGAAATATCTACCTCACCAATGAGACATTTGTTGACCTACCTCACCAGTGAGACACAAGTCATATGCATTGAGCAGGTCTTTCTTCACATTGTTTGGCTTGGCTTTTATGATGGTCTTGTCATCAATAGACTGCCAATGCCACTCATCAGCTAAAATATAGATAAATAATTTTTTTTATTTAGATACTTTTAACCACATATTATAGATACAAGATAATAATGATTTAATCATGGTTTTAAGTTCTTAGCTGCAAACAGAGAATTGAAAATCAAGATTTCTTAGATCTAAATAAAAAAAATTAAATTTTGATTATTACCATACTATCATTGTAACCTCATATACCAAAGTTGGAGGTATGAGGAACCACTTAAGAATTTTCAAATCAATCCACTACTCTATTTAATAAAAGATGTCCAAAAAAAGTATGTGTTCCAGTGTTAGTTACAAAATATTATCTGTCAACTGGAATATTTTTCTTTAAAAAAACATTTTTATAAATATATATTTGCAATTTAATTTTAGGAGGTGACACTTTTTTTTAATAAAACAACTTTTAAATGAAAGATGTAAGGACAGGACTAAAAGAGAAAGAAAAGGAGAAATGGTGAAAGGAAATGGAAAAAAATGAGTAAGAAAGAAAAGTTGAGGGAAAAGATCAGATCCATTAAACCTAGTGTCAAATGTCTGGCAATGTGCCACCTTGCAATGTGCCATCTGCCCCATTGATAAGATTAATTTAAATGACCCATGAATGGTAAATTTTTTTTTTTTTATTGTGATGGTGTTCAAAGGGAAATCACTGTAATCTTCCAAAGTTTAATCCTGACACTAACTAACTAACTTAAGAAAATCAGCGAACACCGAGCCGAAGCTCATATGGTCCTCCCCAACGCACCACCCCGCCAACCAAATCGGCCGTCAACCACTCCCCCAGTGGTCTTTATTCCGATCGGGCCGCGAAGCGGCACGCCAGGGACATTCCGCCCCTAAGACCGCCACGCCCGACCTCCACTCGATTGGCCGCTGAGCGTGGCAGCCCCAGAGAAGAAACACCTGGCCAGCCGGGCTTCTGCTTACGCAGGAACCGGGCCGGACTTTCTAGGGGGTTGGGGTGGATATTTAACGTCTCTAAAGTCCCCCCTTACCACCCCGGGGGGACCGCGTAGTTGTTTAGACCGACGCCCTCTACTAGGGTTTGTATGGTTATTCTACAGCACGACTAATTCACACCGTAGATGGGAGAGAGAGGTTGCCTAGGAGCAGTACCCTCAAGTCTGCATATTTAGAATCACTGGTGAAAGGTTCCCACACACCTTCACCTCATATCCATACGGCAACTGTAATCATGTCCCAACCTGTTTCTGCGTTTAGTAAAATAATTCGTCTGCACTTGGTGAGAGGCCATGCAATCATGCTCGTTCTAACGCAGTCTCCGTGCGTTACCTTTGCCTTTCAGCGCGGGTCCCCTACATGGTGGTAATGTTGCCCAGGGTAACGTTCCAGGGGTTGTGGCCGAACGCCTTTTGGTCGACATGCTAATTAAAAACATGCCGGCTAGAGCCCTAGCTGAATCCTGACACTAAATTTCTGCATATGACCTTGGTTTCATTACATTTTAAAAAACAATCAAACAAACAAGCACACTCAATCCAACAGTTCAACATACAAAGAAATAATATAATTCTCCTGATTTTGGTTCCAAAACGTTGATATACTAAATGTACCGTTTTCTTGCAACAATCTATTTTTTAAAATGAAAACCTCAAGTCTCATGAAGACATCATAAAGCCCAAAGCAAGCCTAAAGCATGAAAGTGAATTACCAAGTTCATTTGGAGGCTGTAAGATTACAGTTGTTTCTTTCCTGGTCATCTTCAGCTCTTTGGCCACGTGGCAGGCTGTCAGTGGGTTGTCTCCTGTGATCATGGCAACCTGTAGAGACAGCCCCTGATAATTCTACTATATTCTAGAAGAGGCCCCTTGTAAATTATAGAGGTGAATTAACTTTTCTACCAATTTAAAGTCATACCGCTTTAGCAATTGGTTACGGGCAAGAAGCATTATTAGCTAGTTGGTGTCAGATTAAGCCCACTTCAAATTACGTTTTTAAAAAGTCCAACTAACCAAGAACTTACATGATGAGTGGAGTTGATGATTTCTTTAATAGCTGCCTTAGAATCAGACTTGAGTGGACAAGAGATAGTGACAAACCCGGCAAACTCTAAATCTCTCTCTATTTGATCTCGGGTGACATCTCGTACCTTATATAATATATAGATAAAATATTTTTATTGACAGATATTTAGATATACCAAAAAACTTATTTTTTTATAAAATGTTTGGCTATGTTCTACAATGTTATCAGTGCAGCATGAAATGGTGTCTGCTGGTTATTGAAAAAAAGTTAATGAATTCAACACTAATTAATTCATGATTTTTTAAAATTAAGTCTACCTTTAAACAAGTCTTTGTAAAAATGATTGTACAAAACTATTTTTAAAAAACAACTTAGACTATATTTTTATATTTTTTAAAAGATAAAATGATCATGAGTCTGAAAAGCAAATATAAGAATTGTTCCTCAGAAAGTTCTAACCTGTTGGTGAGACATAATTCCAAGTTTTTTGTGACCAAGGGCCAAAACTCTTGCTCCTCTCCTAGCCATTTTAAGGTAGACCTCATCATAATATGAGGGCAGTGAACTGAACTAGAAGAGACAAATAATTTCATTTACTCAGTTTTATTAATTTCATTGACAGAAGTGAGACATATGAAATAAATCATGGAAATGAGAATTTTAAGATTTCACCAAAATAATGTTTAAGTCTAAAATGCTTTAAATTGAATAGAGCTAACCAAATTTGTCAGCTTATTTTACTGATAGATCCTCAATAGCCCACCACACAACCCCTTTTCCCTAAAAAAAACCCATCACACTAACATAACAAGTAGGAGACACCTGGGAAGAGATTCAAACAGTAAGCTTTTACACTGATTCCTTTAAAAAAAAAACTCTTCTCTAGCTCAAGGTTCTAATCTAAGGGGGGTTGAGGCTTGGAGAAACACCCTGTCCACTGATTCCCCACCATCAATCTGAATGTATCATTTTTATAAAAGTTCATTCTGCTTAAAAGTTTTCTTCAGTGGCTTGTCTACTATACTTGGCTAAGGTTCTACTTAATAATTTTCTTCAGTGGCTTGCCTATTATACTTGGCTAAGGAGCAACTACATTTTCACTAGAACCAGTTAAAGATTTCAACCATTGAAAAATTTCCAAAAATGACAGCTATTAAAATATGACATACATTAAGTTTCAAGGAGGCTCTATTTAAATCCAACAAAATACTCATGTTACTCACCATAGCTTTCAGGGTCTCCGGTGCACCTTTCACAGCTGCACTGTACTGCACTTCTGTGCTCCCTGGCGGTGTGTGCCCAACAATGACAGACATCCTTTTCAAGGAGCTCTGGAAGTGAAATCTGTGGTAGATCTTAAGTCCGTGTGTTTTCTTTTTCTGCGGGACGACCGTCTCTCCTGGCAATGGTTTAAAAAAGAAAAATTATCATGAAAATGCATCACATAAAATTGGTCAGAGTCTATGTTACATACAGTTATGGTTGTAAATATTAAATCTGTGTTAATAGTTGGTTCACAGAGGAAAAAATATGTAACAAAAGACTGATTTAACAGTATGTTAAGAAAAACAATGCCAAAGCTAGTCATACTATAAAATTTATTTAATTATATAGATAAATTTCCATAAAAATACAAATTTGAGTGCCGAAGCAAAAAGTGTATCAACTAGAGTAAGTGGAAAAAAATATACAATTCTCAAAATATTAATTTTTACATACAATAATATAAAGTTCTCGTATGTCTATCTATAAGTCTTGCTAAGTCTATCTTTTGGGTAAGTCTAGGCAAGTCTGAGCCTCAGAAAGTCTATGTTAGAAAAACTAGCAGGCTTTACATAGAAATTGAATCAAAATGTTCTAGTACAGAAAATCTAGAAATTGTGTCACCTAATGGCATTATTGAGTACAAATGGAACGCATTCAAATGTAAACAAACTGTTTAAACCAGCCAAGACAGGGGCAGGCAGGGAAAGTGACATCAATTTCGAAGTCGAAGCAAGTCTAAGTGGTGGTTGACAAAATAACCGTGTATAGTTTTAAAATAAGCCTAGCCCTACCCTGTACTAGACTATTATATATATATATATATATATATATATTTAAATATATAAATAATATCTATATGTATGTAACAGTCTAATATATATTTTTTAAAGGTATTAAAGAGGTAATTTATTTTACATTCAACAATAAACTTCGCATTTAATCTGGCACAGAATTCCTTTTCCTACCAGATAAGTTTAAATCCACTATTATTCATGTCTAATAAAGCAAGATAAATAAAGTAGTTTATGGCCATTAGTTATCGTGATATTCCCTTTCAAGGTGGGATAATAAATGTGTTTGATTGTCTAGGATCTGGGAATTTAGTGGTAAATGCTATTAACAGCAATTCGGGTAGGTTTTTTTTTCTTCTTGAGAGAAATATAGTCGGTACAAACAAAATATTTTTGGCAAAAATGTTCAAAGGCGTTAACAAATAAAACAATAATGGAAGAAACCAACCTTTAGTGAGTGTCCATTCCACAGCTTTGAGGGTGGCCTTCTCAAGGGGATCCCCTACCAGCTCTTCATCAAGCTGCACTAAAGAATGGCAGGTGGCCAAAACCTGCATTGTTTCTAGAGGAGCATCATGGGCAGCAATAACCTCAGACCCACTGGCCAACAAAACAACATATTATTAATTATTTATCTGTACTTAAAACCTTTTTTTTTTAAACATTTCAATATACTCATGCCAAAGCTTTGAGCAACCTTCTTATAAAATTATTATAAGATTTTAATTTTATTTAAAGTTTCAAATATTAGGCTATGGGAGCTTGGAAAAACTTTTAATATTTAAGACTTAGTTATCGTATGTCCCGCAGGATCTGTTATGTAATAACGCAAATGCTAAAAATACAAATTCTAATACGGCTTGACATGCAAATAGTTCTGGAATGGGGGGAGTTAATATACATTTGTTTTGTTTTATTTAATTAATGTATGTTAAATTTTAAGTTCATGATTATATTTGTTTAATGGTATGTACAGCGTGGTGAGGCCAGGCCTAGGCTGGGGTACTGCGCTATATAAAACCACTAATAATAATACCTTCTACATCAAGAATAAAGTTGGCAAATATGATTGACTTCTATCTATCTTGTATAAAAGTCCATTACCGCAGTGTGAATGTCAAATTAAATTTCCAACATAGTGTGTTTTATTACATAATTTGTTAAACAATTTTTTCCAACTTTATTTTAAGAGAATAAAATAAATATGCATGATAGGAGCAAGAATCATCAGTAAAAATTAACATAATTAAAATATTTTCAATGTCAGGATTAAGGAAAGTATGCAAAAATAATGACAACCAAACCCTCAATAAGCAAATGTATATTATTTTAGTTTACACTTACTTAAGACCAGTCACCCCTTCTACAACAAGGTTATCACTGGTTAGAGTTCCTGTTTTGTCAAAACAGCAGATGTCAATCTTTCCTGCAAAAGGTATTCTGAATGGTTCTGTACAGTAAACATCTGGCGGTAAAATCAAAATCAAAGCAAAATTACATTTCCAGTAAAAAAAGTTATGAAAATAGAGTCATACAATACTCCGAGTTGCACATAAAATATGACCAATCTTTAACTGTATGATAGAATAACATTTCCATTAGACTAACTTTTACACACACAAACAATTCAATACATTTTTTTAATGTACTGATATGGATTATAAATTCTAAGTCTTGCTAGTTATAGGTCCTTTAGAAATGTAAATAATCTTATACAATATTTGTTGACAAAAGTATTCCTTAACACTATAACTGTCAAGATCGTTTTTCTGTAGCTTCACGCCATTTTTTAGCATTTTCATATGCTTGTCAAAAATGACAAAATCCCCGACTAAATTAATTTAAAGACCCTATCAAGTATACCTTTTCAGAAAGTACATTGGACAAGGTATCTTATGGTATGAAAAAGAAGTTGTTTTTATATTATGTATGTTTATATTGACCTTTTCAGAGTTAGCAAAATTTGAGAACTTCTGATTTCAACTCACCCTAAATACCCAATGAATTGATCAACATAGCATAAAATCAATTTTTTTGAGAAACTAGAAGAAATTTATAGTTATAGCAAGTTATAGCAACTTATATTGAAAATTGTAATATTGGTGAATCTTTTTCATTCCCTACCGTCATACAAAATCCAAGGGGGGAGACACAAAATAAGTTCAAAAATTCCTTTTCAAATGAAGTTATTAGATCTAATTTTTTATAAATTAATACTAAAGATCATACACAAACATCAATGTCTTTTGGGTAGATCTTTGTGATCCAATCTTGGTCTTATTCTGTTCGATTTCCACCCTTTCCCAACAAATTTATCAATAGTAATACAACTAAGCTAAGGGCTAAAATTGTCTGTATCAGACTCTTATGTCCCACTACCACTAGAGCTAATACTGTCATTACTAGCACATGGTATATCTCTGAAATATTTGTTTTCATTTTAATCTATTTGAAATAATTCCAATAAAGAAATTCTGTGTTGTAACTCTCCGGCGTCGGACAATATGATGGTAAAAATTTGGGATTAATCACACAAAAAAACCCTGTTAAATGCATGTTAACACACAGATAGTAATGGAAATAGGAAGCAAAGTCATTTATATAATGTTTTCCCCTTAACCAATATACATTAAATCATTAGCCTTTTTAATGACGCCACAGATGATCAGATGTTATGAACATGACAGCTATAGGATTGAAAAGAACATTTAAAACATGGGAATCTCAGAGTTCATGAATAAACTTACACAACTTGGTAAGGGCTAACAATGAAGTGTTAACTGCCAAGGACAACTCTATAGGTAATTCAGGGGGAACAACTGATGTTAGGATTAGAGTACACTCTAAGAAGAGCTTGTATCGATTCCTTGTTGGATCTTCAGTACCTGCAATCAGACAATTATTAATCTATACTAGAGTTAAGTTACAAATATTAATTTTGTTCTTTGATAAGAATTTTTGGAACAAACATAAGTTTTATTGAAACTATCCATTTCCATGATATCATATATGAGTCACTTTACCCCTCGTCCCCGAAATCTCATTCAATTGTTAAAATAATGCTTTAACATTTAACTTTCAGCAGACTGATACTATTTATATCTTCTTCTAAGCCTTGGCTATTTCTAATCCTCTTCACATTCAATGAAAGGCTTACCCTTGATCCACACGTAGGAGGCAGCTATGATGGCGAACACCAGAAGGAACATAATGAAGAAAAATGTCTCTAGGTTGTTGGCAGTGACTCGTTTGACACCAAACAGAATGGTGCGGAGCAGCTTACCCTGAGATGTATTGAAACTGTGACGCAGCACATAAGCTATGCAGCCATTGTCACTTGCTGGAAAAACAAACAAGAAAAACTTTTGCAGCTGCAGTTTCTTTCATTTTTTTAAATTAAAAATGGTGTAATGCTACAAACATTTACTTTCTATTTGGGTCCACTCATTTTTGGAGTTGGATTTTTGTGTCCACTCATTTTTGGAGTTCATTGCTGGTGAAATGTCACAGTAAATAAATCCTTTTGGTTTCTAAAAAACTATAATCCCAGGTTTTAATGAACAACATTTTGTCCCCTCTAAATTACCTTTCAAACCAGGACCTGATTTACTTGGGGGTGTGTGCTGAACTACTTTGGTGCCGCCAAACAAAACATGAAGTTTTCCATCTTGCTCTAAATTCAGATAGTGATTTGTTTCTAGATTTTCAACAGGTTCCTGTCAACAAACAGAAACATATTTTTAAAATTGTTTTACTGTTAAAAAACTTTATTATGTAATAATAAGCCATTACACTCTAAAGATCAATCACCTATTGCAGAAATGAAGCCCTGGATAAATTAGTTATTAGGACATATTTTATAAACTAAATTTATGAGAAAACAAGGTAAAATAATTCTCTTGAAAGAGAGCTTACTTTCATAACAGGAACAGATTCGCCAGTCAGCATAGATTCATCAACAATACAGGGTCCACGAAGAAGTAACATATCACATGGTACAATCTTTTCTTCTTGAGAACGAACTGAGAAGAAAATAAACCAATGTTAAAAATTATTAAATCATACTAAATCTAAAATTAATAGGTCAATAAAGGAAGAGATTTTTGGATAACTGTGCCCGAAAAAATATTTATAGTAGTTTTTTTTTATTACATACATTTCCTTATGATCTTCATTTACCTATAGATACAATATCTCCAGGAAGTAATTCATCTGTCATTATTTTGATCCACTTCCTATTCCTGTACACCTGGAACAATAATAAAGAAAGATGTCAAACTTGTAACCAATGTTAAAACTAGTTGACATATTTTGGTAATGTGTTTTACTCCCTCATTACTTCATTTTTATAGTGTTTTAATGACGGCAAACACATTTAAGGCTAATTTAATAACCCACAATACAAAATAAGAGTGTTACCTGTATAAGATAAGGCTTGTTTCCCATTTTCCTAATTTCAGCCATGTTGCGCAGCTGTTGCTGGACTAGTGTAGCCTCAAAAGCAATGAGCATGAAGAGGGTGAACACGGAGTAGTACCAGTATTCATCCAGGCACCATAATCCTACACAAAACACCTGGTATGTGGATTATATTAGGGTAATAGTTGTATTTAAATATAAACAAATAGATTTCAAATCATTTTTATATGAACCAGCAGTATTTGAACTCTTTCAAACACATAACACTCAAAGGGAAAGTGGCTCATTTTACATTTTAGTCAATAATTAATATTAGTATATATATATATATATATATATATATATATTAAAAAAAAAGTCAAAAAAAAAAAAAAACATTTTTATATGAAACAACAGTATTTGAACTCTTTCAAACACATAACACACAAAGGGAAAGTGGCTCATTTTACATTTTAGTCAATAATTAATATTAGTATATATATATATATATATATATATATATATATTAAAAAAGAAGACTAAAAAAAAAAAGTTGGACTACACATTGGATTCAATAAGTTTGATCCAATAAAATGTTTCTTTTAAAAACATGGAGAAAAAATTGGAAAGTAATTTATCATTCATACTTGAAATACAAAGAAAGGGGCTGTGGCTCTCTCCCTAAAGAGTTCCATGAATTTTGGAATGTCCATAACCATGCTGAAATGAAATCATCAGGTAATTAAAATACTTGAATGAATTTTTGATAAAGCTAAACAATAGTTAAGTAATAGATCATTAAATAAGTATATATATTTTTACTTTTGCGGATAAAGACTTGTGGCACTCTTCCCTACAGTAAGGTTCAATGCAACATGATGTCAACAGAACAGCTGCAGCAGAGCCCAAAAGAAAATCAAGAAAAGCCCTAGTTAACTATGCACCTGGAGATGTCTTATCCATCCCTTGCACCTTGCGCACAAAGACATTTGTGCCAGAATCTGCCTCATCAGACAAGCCCCAATAACGAATTAATAAGTAAATGATAAATAAGGAAAATCATTCAGGAATATAGTGTTTGAATTAATTTATTAATGAGGTTAAGATTAAACGCTTTAGAAAACTTAAACTTACGAATTCTTGCCAAACTTCTTTTCAGCTGCTGTAACTTCCTCATCCTCTTGATATCCCTTACATTCCATGTAAAAGCCCACTGACTGATCGATGGGAAAAGAAAGAGGGACAAATCGCTTGTGCTCTTCTGCATCGTACGAGTACTTTGTCTTTTGAAACATGAACCATAAGAGGTCATCCCCTTCAGCCTAAAGATGGATATAAGTCAAAGATTAATGAGTGAAAAGAAATAATTATCAAAATTATTTAAATATTTTGTAACATAAATGTTGCAAAATAACTTTAAAATGTGTTATTGATATTAATAGAACATCACACCTGTTTATGATGGAGTCTGACAAGCTCTGTGGAACCATTGTTGGGAGTCGGAACTACTTTAATCCACTGGGCTTTGAAAGGATCAGATATCTACAAATGAAATTTAAACGAAATAATGATGTGGCTAACCTTACTGGTCACCTTAAATATGGGAAAGATTATAACAAAATCAGATATGATATAAGATTATGTGCCATCTAATGTTATTGTATAAATTTACATGAAGACTGAAAAAATAAAATGGTTGAGAATGGGATCAAGTTGTAAAATAACAGAAGTCAGGGTTCACAAGTCGAAATGATTCTGAATTTATTAGTTACAGTAGTTCCCATTCCATTTAATTGCATTCACCTTTGGCATTAATAATTTTATATTCTGATACAATTATTTCCACAGCATGTTCGGGGTATTAGTAAAATATTCACTTGGGGCCAGTTTTGATTGATAGATAAAGCAAATATTACTCCCCCCCCCC